TCTTTTCCCATTGGTATTTTTGTTATCATTATTATTACTATTACCATTATTATTATTGTTACCATTATCTTTATTACATATATATTCATGTATATATATGTATATATATATATATATATATATATATATATATATATATATATAATATATGGATATCTGTGTGTGTGTGTGTGTGTGTGTGTGTGTGTGTGTGTGTGTGTGTGTGTGTGTATGTGTGTGTGTGTGTGTGTGTGTATATTTATATATGTATATGTATTCATATATATATTTGTATATATATATATATATATATATATATATATATATATATATATATATATATATATGTATGTATATATATACATATATATACACACAGACACACACACACACACATATATATATGTATATATATACACACATATATAATATAATATATATATACATATATATATATATATATATATATATATATATATATATATATATATATATATGTGTGTGTGTGTGTGTGTGTGTGTGTGTGTGTGTGTGTGTGTTTGTGTATCTTTTTCCGTATACTGGTGTCATTAATAAATTTTATTAAATTTGCTGCATTGTATAAACATAAAAAATCTTATTATATATATATATATAGAGAGAGAGAGAGAGAGAGAGAGAGATAGATAGATAGATAGATAGACAGATATAGACATATGCACATATACTCCGTATGCCATTTGTGGTTAATGATGGTTGTTGGTAAATAATCAGATATACTGTATTTTGTCTATTTTTTATTGTTAATACATGTCACAATCTATATACATAATAGGTAAAATTGTCAAAATTGATGAGTTTAAGCACAATTTCACATCCTTGTTAACTATTTAATATTATTTGGAATGGTTTTGTTCATGTCATATAGCATAATGAAATGTTTCAATCTGATTAGATGCCGTTAAAGTAGTTAGTAAAGTACGCATAAATACATATCAGTGTCTTCAAGCAAATCACATGGAATTTATGCAAACACAGAGAAGAATGACGAGTCGGTTCTAAGATGGAATCGCGTGCTTGCCAACTGAGCTAAGTTGTAGCCATAAGCCAGTTCGTAGGGTGCCTTTGTCCTCAGAGAGTAGTATCCATCATATGATTCTTCGTTCAAAGTCACGCCAGCAGATAACTTCTGAGAGAAAGAGTCACTGCCGTAATCTGCAGTAAGTCCGTAACGGTTGTGAGGGAGAGTCAGCATCACCTTCGGAGCAAACTTGTACAGGGGAACCTTCATTTCAGCCTCGATCCTCTCGAAGTCTTCAATGGGAGTTTCGACAACCAAGTTGGTTGTCACGACATCCTCGGTGTTTCCAAACTGAAGATCTGCCTTAAACTTCAGAGGCTTGTCGGCAAACACGGAAATGTTGGTCACCTCATCTTTAAGGTAGCGGGCACCGAAGTTCATCTTCTTGTAACCCTTGAATGGCGTAATAATCTTGAGGTTGGTATTGATATTCTGTGAAGACTTGATCTTAATATTGAGGATTCCAGAGATGGTATCTTCAGCATTCTTCAGCGCCATCTTCATTTGCATGTTCTCATTTGTATTTCCAGTGAGCATAGCTTCAGCTTCAGCCATTCCCGTTGGGATGTATGGAGATTCCACAATGCTAATCAACTTCCTGTTTTCCTTATCCAGATTGAACCGGAAGGAATTGACTGTGTTGGCAAATTTGGCTGTGATAAACATTTCAACATTGTTCTGGAAGTTGAGTGAGGCATCAAGCGTAAC